TTTTGATTTTGCCATTTGGTGAGGGACTTTTCGTTTTAAATTTTCCTTGGAGTTTGGTGTTTTTGTTAATTTACTTTTCAAAACATGTCCATATCCGGGAAGATTAGAACAGAAAGGAAGTAATTGAAATTAATAAGTCGAGAGCTATAAAGAAAAATGGTGAAAAAAGGACGAAACATAAAGTATCAAATCTTAATAGCATTTTACAGAAACGACATCAATCCTACATAAAATTGGGGTTGAACTCGTAATTTTAAAAAAATTTTCATTGCACTCGTGGTATCCGTGGTGTTCCTCTGACATTAAGTTCATTAAGTCGTGCGTACATTGTATCTGGTTATATATCATGAACCAATGAAGAATATATAGTGATTGTAACCATGCAATTATAACTTAGAAAATTATCATAAACCCTTGTGGGCATACTGATCGTGGTAAGTCGATCAATCATCGGGATGTATATAAAGGAATGCAAACTATTACTAAAATTCAGCAAATCAAACAAGACATTCTCTTACCGGATTAAATAAAAAAGAGAGGCAAAAGATATACCAAAGGGACATTCAAACTCATAAGTCTGAAATAAACTGACAACGCCATGAACAAGAAAGAAAAGAACCAAAAAAGACAAACAACAGTATGCAAAACACAACATAGAAAACTAATGACTGAGCAACACGACCCCAACCAAAAACCGGGAGTGATCTCGAAGTGCTACGGAAGGGTAAGCAGATCCTGCTTCACATGTGGCACCCGTCGTTTAAGTGCTGTTGTTATTCTTTAAAAAGGTCTCTATCTGAATCGAGATCACATCCTTAGCTAATGCATAAAAAGCATACAGAGGTATTGGACAGTACAACAGAATGCCGCCAACCACCAATAACCGACTCCTCCGAAAACATTGAACTACAAATAGAAGGTGACACAGAAAGCATGACTTGGTATAGGCACACAATTCGCACGTAGTGGGGTTCAATAAAACTTATTAAAGATTCCTCGAGGTTTGTAATCAAGCACGATATGCTTGCATTTATTGTACACACGTCTCAAACATTGTGCTTAAATAAACTTTTTAAATGGTAAATTCATTTTACGAAGTAATACAAGATAACCACTAATTCCAAAATGTTGTGCCAAAGCTTGCCATTTATGCATTGGAAAAATCCTGAGTGTTTCAAATGATTTTAAATTGTATAAACGTCAAATTTATGGAAAATGTCGACCCAATGATTTTTTATTTCAGCACTCGAGTGCTAACTACTTCGCTGGTTATACCAATGGAACGAAACGTTCACCAGCAGTTGCATGATCCAGTGGTTTTGAATTCTTATCAAAGATACAAGGCTGATAGTTCAGTAAACAAAATATGCGCTTTTCATCTACACAAGACTTACCAGTTGCGCTTGAATCAGCCAATCGATAGGCATATTCGATAACGAAGTTATGATGAAGAGATTTGAAGACCAAACGTTAACCAGCTTTACGGGTGCACATTTGATGAAGTCTTATCTAACTAAATTATTGATCATTTATTCTATTGCTTGTAGATGGCTTACAACAGCAAACAGTAATTGACCGAGGAGCATGTGAAAGGACTCTGTGATCTTCTGATTAGTTTTTTAAGCTATGCGTAAATTTTCATTACATATCTTTATCAGTAGCTTCTTTGCAGTGCCCTTTGCTCAATGAATAATTATCAATATAATAAACAGCTGCGCCATGAGCGCATGATACGCCCGTCGTCTTGTGTGTGAATTTTTATGCAATAAGCATAAATAGTTTCTGACATACGGCGTGACATGCGAAAACCCCCTTTTTTTTTTTTACAAAAAACTCAATATCTATAAAATAAAATTTTGAATCAAAACCAAAAAGTATACAGATCTTTAGTTTAATATAACTAAGAAGTGTGTAAAATTTTAAGCAATAATCATAAATCGTTTTTGAGATACGGCGCGACATGTGAAAACACCCCTTTTAAAAAAAAAAATCAATATCTCAAAAATAAAATTTTGAATCATCACCAAAAAGTATACAGATCTTAAGATTAATATAACTAAGAAGTGTGTAAAGTTTTAAGTAATAATCATAAATTGTTTTTGAGATACGGCGCGACATGTGAAAAAAAAACACACACCTGTTTTAGTTACTAAGTCCCGTAACTCAAAAAGTTTTAATCTTTTTTTCACCAAAAAGTATACAGATCGTTTGGCCATCATAAGAAACAACTATGTTAAGTTTCATGAAATTTGGATAAGTCATTCTCAAGTTACGGTGCGACATGTTTACGCCGGACAGACAGACGGACAGACAGACGGACAGACGGACAGACAGACGGACGGACGCCGGACATTTGTATAACATAATACGTCCCGTCAAAAATTTGACGGGCGTATAAAAAGGAGCTGTGGTACATGTATGATTGCCAATGAGACAACTCTCCACAGGAGTTCAATTGAAGTGGATGTTAGTAAACATAGGTCACCATACGGCCTTCAACAATAAGAAAACAATCCATACAGTTTAGGCATGCGCTATGAATAATGTGAAACAATTCACACGAGTAAAATAACGGCATAACTTCTAAAAATACACTTTACGAAAAAAATATATGACAGACATGAACCAACAACAACCACTGAACTACAATCTCCTGACATTGGACATGCACATACAGAGTGTGGCGGGATTCGTATAGTCCACTATAGAAGACTATATTGATAAGAAAATATTACATTTATACTCTTTAATTCAACAGTAATAGTTTAAACACTAAACATCAACAAGCACCAAAAAGAAAAAAAAAACCCAACAAAAGTGGTTGCTACAACAATTTTGCACCCATGAATAGCTGACTAGATACGAACGTGAGTCTTATTTGACAAAAACACAAAATTGATTTGTCATGTACTGATTATATTGAAACAATTATATCTACTTAAACTACTTTATAGTATATTAGGACTTCGTCAACAGATGTCTAGACATAACTAGGTTTGGAAAGAGAGACATAGGTAAATATCTAACCAAAATTGTATACTGCTCTCTCTCTCTCTCTCTCTCTCTCTCTCTCTCTCTCTCTCTCTCTCACACACATACACACACTGACCAAAATTGTATGCTAAGATCTCTCTCTCTCTCTCTCTCTTTCTCCCTCTCTCACACACACACACACACTGAATATTCATGTGCTATTGCTTAACGCAGTTCAGTTATTCTATGATTTGTATCTAAGAATATAAATAATTTCCAAAGAAAGGAGTGCTCCAAACCCCTTAAACATCTTCTCTTTTGCTCTAACCAAAGCAAAGTTTTATTTCATCTGCTTGAATCTACCATAAAACCAATCATTGAACAAACACGTCAATGGGGTACTGACAACTAGACTGAGTAGATCAATGCGGATAAAAAAAAACCAATACAACGTTCAAGCGTCACTGCTTAACCAAGATCAGTTATACTACGACATAATTAAGAAATCTGACTGTTCATTGAAAAAAAAAACTTCAGTCAATATTTAACATTATGGCTTGGTTGTGTTAATGTTTATGTCAAAATGTACAAGAAGACCCCAGTGATCACTAGGGAATAAACCACACGTGGCAATTTTTTCTTTACCAATCAGCTGAAACGACACGGGAGTTATAACTGATTCTGTTTTTGGATGTCTCATATATATACGATCGAATCTAATTTTAGGTTTGAAGTCTTGATTTTCAGCCCATTTCAGGTTTGTGTTGATAGATGTGTCCCACGTAAACTGTGTTTCCTTATTTTTTCCGGTTTCTATCCAAATGTCCAAAACACCTTTGGGAAGTCCCTTGATTTCACGTATCTACAAGTAAAATAAATAGGATAATAAAAAAGAATAAGAAATTAACAGGAATAACAGACACATTGTAAGACAAATTAGGTGTTCTGTTAAAATAACATGAATAATAAATCAGTATTGTTAACAAAAAGACTCAATAGTGACGCGCGAGTCATAATAGTTTTAAGGCCTAAGCAAGTGAAAGTTGCAAAGCATTGATGACCCAAATTTCCAAAAATTTGCCAAATTCGGCTTAGGTAATATCTGCATGGGTTAGAGCATCACTAGTATTGCGAACAATTTACAAAACAGTAAATTTACAAAAATTACCGATCAATGATATTTCATGTCAACAAAGAGACGTTGACTACTGGGCTGGTGATATTCTTGAGGTCCTTCAACAGTGGCATCGACCAATTGGTTGGAAGTGTCACCAAAGACACAAGTATTATACACTACTCTTGAAAGTATAACTTGTTCATAAATTGTTACATTTTAAAAATGAAATTGGCTAATTTGATACGGTATGATTGCATTTCTTTTGCAACGCTTTTGAGGTCAACAATTAAGTTGGTAAGAGAAAGTTGTTGAATTTTTTTTTTTTTGGTTTCTTGTGCAAGCTATGAAGTTTTGAAAGAATGTAATCATGCTATATTCAGTCCGTGTTTGTGTTCCTTTGTCTATCTCGTTGTGGTAGTGTCGTGCAAATATAACTTTGATATAAATTAGGATATAATAGCTCTAGGTTACAATTTGACTTCAGAAATGAATAAACATACAATGTGCCATATTGCTACTGTCTTACATCTCATTTCCATGGGAAATCCTGCTTAATTGAATGAAAATTCGACTGAGATATTTCTATTCAATATCCATACGTATTCGATGAATTGAAGGTCAGACATGAAATCAGATCTCATACAAAGGTCAATATTAAGGCAACATTGGCCGGGGCGTTTGCTTTGACGTTCTTGGTGATCACACAATGTATATATACAGTCCGTTTGACTGTACAAGTACACATGGTATCTGTTTGAAAGTATGACATTTACATATATTTGACTATACTTTAAATCCCATGGATTCTAGAATGTCGCGTCATTTTGGGCAAAATACTTCCAAGGGACCAATTCGGGCTTGGCAGCAGCTTCCAATTTATTTTTTGAACTTTCATTTAAACTATTTTTACCTCTCTGTCTCTAACGTTAAAGTCTCCGCCAAAAAGCACAGTTCTGTCACGACTAGCATTTATCACATGGTGCAAAGCTCTTTTCAGCTGATGTTTCCTCTCATCACTGTTGGTTTTCATACTTTCCAAATGTGATGCCATCAACAGGCAAGGTAAACCTTTTATTGTACACTAAAATAAATATATAGTAGGTGTTTTTTTTAATCCTGTTTATGTACTTGAAACATTTGCAGATTGGTAAATGTAAATGTAGAATGTACTTAAGCATTTAATTTTCAATTTAATTCCAAATTTATTAACGAAGTCTTTTTACTGTTATTCATATCTTTTCTTGATATAACTTCTGATATACTTGTACATTTGTTTGCTTACACGCCCCTAATATGATTATTTCAGAAATGGCATGCTTAACTATGATTTTTAAGTGAAAAAATAATGCAAAAACGAAACGTTTAACCCAAGCCATGAACTGGTTGAAACATGTTATAAAAAGCAAAACTAAACATGGCATTCGTTTGGCACAAGACCAAGGCTGCCAACAGAGCAAGTGTCTCTAGCATCACACTCATTTTGACAGCCTATCCTGTTAAACCACGTTGCTTTTGGACAAAATTGAAATATTTGACCTTTCTGAATGACAGGAAGTATTGACGACTTCAAGTCTAAACCTCCTGATTTCACCTATGCTAGTTCCCCATTCATATATAATCCGGCTGGGCATGTTATTACTGGTGACCTAAAAATTGTCAATAACACTTCTCTGCGAAATGTGTTATCGAAAGGACCGAAATATTATGGACCTAAATCCATCAATTGGAAACACAACTTCAAAATACTGAGGTCGAGGATTATGCCAGGCAATGAGTTAAACGCGAGAAAAGAAGACTTACATACTCCTTCCGAATGGAATAAGGCTGTGCAGTCGTTGATACAAATCAGAATTAAAAAAACTGATTGGGTCTATGAATATCCATGCTACATAAATCTTTACAAACCCAAATGTTGCAAAACACCTGTCTTACCTCCATGACAAATATGTTGTCGTCCCCGCAGATAAAGCCCCAAACAACATCATTTTTGTGTGTAAAGCACATTACTTTAACTGTTTAATAAATGAATTGGGTATTGACAATTTACTTGGAAACTCAACTTATACTCCCACGACACTTACCAAGAAGAAAATCCTGGATAATCATAGGTCTGTTCTATGTTTCAACCAAATATGAAGAACTGGACTTCAAAGTTATTGTGAAACTACCTATTCAAGAGGTGGCGTGAATCAGATGTGGATACTTAAAAATTCCAAAGATCTTTTAGAGTACATACAATCTAAGACTCTTTCATCTTGCAATAGTATTAAAACATATGACTTTTCTACACTTTACACTAGTATTTCCCATTCAAAACTAAAATACAAATTGAAAGAGTTGGTGCAGCTTTGTTTCATAAAAATGAATGGCCAACGTAGATACAAGTATCTTGTCTTAGGGAGGGATAAATCGTACTTTGTAAAACATCACTCTGATTCAAACAAAAAATACTCTGAAACTGACATTATCAAGATGCTTGAAACATATTTGTTACGTTTGGAGGACGTGTTTTTCAACAAACAATCGGCGTTCCCATGGGAACCAACTGTGCTCTTCTTCTTGCCGACTTGTTCCTTTATTCATATGAGGCTGACTTCATACAGGAATTTCTTAGGAAGAAAGAAAAGAAGTAAGCAGTATCCCTTAACTTTACTTTCCTCTATATAGATGATGTTCTCTCACTTAATAATTCAAAATTTGGTGAATATGTTGAACTCATCTATCCCATCGAACTTGAGATAAAGGATAGAACATATACAGTTAAGTCTGTCTCATATCTCGACTTGTTCCTTTATTCATATGAGGCTGACTTCATACAGGAACTTCTTAGGAAGAAAGAAAAGAAGTAAGCAGTATCCTCTAACTTTACTTTCCGCTATATAGACGATGTTCTCTCAATAAATAATTCAAAATTTGGTGAATATGTTGAACTCATCTATCCCTTCGAACTTGAGATAAAGAATACAATAGATACAGTTAAGTCTGCCTCATATCTTGACTTACATCTAGAGATTGACAATGAGGGTCGTTTGAAAATAAAACTGTACGACAAAAGTGATGATTTCAGCTTCCCAATTGTGAACTTTCTATCCATATGGAGCAACATTCCGGCAGCGCCTGCATACGGAGTATATATCTCCCAGTTGATACGATACTCCACGGCTTATATTTCCTATCATGATTTCCTTGATAGAGGATTGCTGCTAACAAGGAAGCTATTAAACCAAGAGTTCCAAGTGGTGAAGGTGAATTCATCACTTCGTAAATTTTACAGACGCCATCACGAGTTGGTTGACCGTTATGGAATATCCGTTTCACAGATGACAGCGGATATGTTCGAATTGTCGTAACTACAATCCTGTCCCCTTTTCCCCGAATGTGACCTACCGAAAAAGACTTATTACCGGGTGTGTACTAACATAAGCAACACGACAAGTGCCACGTGTGGAGCAGGATCAGATTGCCCTTCCGGAGCACCTGAGATCATCCTCACTTTTTTGTTGGGTTCGTGTTGCTCAATGTTTAGTTTTCTATGTTGTGTTTTTTTGTACTGTTGTTTGTCTGGTTGTCTTTTTCTTTTTTAGCCATGGCGTTGTCAGTTTATTTTCTACTTATGAGTTTGAGTGTATTTTTGGTATCTTTGGCCTCATTTTTCAATGAATATACTAGATATTATTACACATTGATATTTGATGGTCTATTTGAGAGATTTTCAAAACCCTTTCTTTTTCTAAAACTAAGCTCTTTTTTTCTCAATAATGTGGTCATTAGTAACGGGGTTATGTTAATGTTAATTTTTTCACAATTGTCTATGTATAAGTGTGATTAGTATATTACTAGGTGTACTAAATTCAACGATTTTATACATGTCAATCTGGTTAACACAGATCTTTCACTCTGGTCCGTTACCTTTGTATGTCACTCGAAGAAGATTCGAAGACATCGCATAAGGGGTCATCTTCAGTGACTTTTTTTTATGAAAGTTGTAATCAAGGGAAATTCAAAACGGGAAGTCTTTTATAAAATGGCAAAATCAAAAGCTCAAACACATCAAACGAATGGAATTGATCTGCGCACTTTGGTTACACATTGTTCACCTGCAAGCATGTAAGTTTAATTACCGAGTGGAATGTACATCAGAGGTTACGTATTTACTGCCTATAATTATTTGGATGTGAAAAGCACTCATCAAAGATACCCGTTTTATAATTTTATAAGACAGGCGGTTGCTCCATCTACAAAAGAATCATCAGGATCCTTAAACATTAGCTTGTGTATCAACGAAAAAGTAATAACAGAAGGTTAAACATTTAGTTTTTTCTTACCTCAACTCTTTGTAACGTTCTCTCCTGTTTACTGCTAGTAAAAGGAATGATTTTTGAGTCTGTAACCTGTACAACATTTTGCTTCACCATAATGACTGTAAAATAACATTCAACACCTGATTCTATAAACGTATACTCTAGACATTTTCTGGACAGCATCTCCAACGTATCAAGTATGACTTCTTGTAGAAATACTACATCAGGTCTTTCCCTACAATCAAAATTAAGTGTAATATTTATAACAGTTGATCGGAAATTATAAAATTAGCTTGCAAGTTTCTTTAAGGTAGATAAGAAGTGGATGTTATATGCGGCGATGAAAGAGCTAACTGACCACAACGAGAGGTAAACTTTCGGACTTCAACAATAGACAAAAATCTTTACAATATGTCAAAATCTAAATCACCACCAGTAAAATATGAGCTTCGTCGGACAGAAATCGACCTTAGGCGAGTGGCCATATACATGTACATGGATAAGACTTTGTTTATGGAACATTAAATACGATATAAAAGGTGAACTCTTGTCTGTTTTGTAGGGTTCTTATAACGACTAAATTTTCAAACAGTTACATACTTTCCGTAGAGATTTATTCAACCCAAAATAGGTTAACAGATGTATTAAAATTCATTTGCATAATGTTTTTATCCGACGCAGCTCATATATTACGAATAAATTCAAAATCTTTACAGTCATTGGTTGCAGGATCGGTGTTATTTTTCAAAATAATCAAAGTATGAGAGTTTTCAATGAAATTGTTCAAAGTTGAAATTTAAGTGTTTTGAAATATACTTCTGATTTCTGGTAAATACTGTTTGTCTGTTGTTTTCTTCTTCTTCAAAACAATAATAAGCATGAGAGTCCATAAGGCAACTTTGCTAAATTGAAATTCCTTTTTGTTTTATTCAAATTTGTACTTATTATCCAAAATATAAAATATCTGAGAGAGTCCAAGAAATTAACAAAGTTGAAACTTCAATCTTTACGATACCAAAACTCATCCAATGCATTTTTGTCCTGCTGGTTAGGTTGCAATAACTATGTTATCACACGGTACACTTACCTATTTATAATCGAGATTACAGCACTTGTTCGTTCTTTGATGCTATCCTCAGAAAGACCATCGATGTTCCATGATAACAATTTAATTCTATCTAGTGACGATTCTTCATCAGATATACTCTAAAGCATATATGCCAAATATATATAAAGAATATAAATAGGCAGATAATAGCTTTATCATTAGTGTAAAGGACAGGGTGAAATAAGAGCCTATTTTTTACTTTTGATTGAAGATTTCAATTTTTTTGTCTTTTTCAAAGTTCAAGTGATGCCAAATTAAAAATAAGTAGATTTCGATCCTTATCGTAACAATAAGCTTAGTTCTGAAGTCAAGGAAATGTGATTTTTATGGGATTTTGCGACAAAAAGTAAAATAACAAAAATACCAAACTCTAAGGAAAAAGCTCAAACACATCAAACGAATTGATAAGTTAACAACTGTCATATTCATGACTTGGAATAGGCATTTCCCTATGTAGAAAATATATAGTTTAGGTATTTTTTTCTGGCTTTATGACCTGCAAGTATAGAGCAAATGCAGGTTCTTACTATATATATCACTTCAATGTTTTTTCTATAGAAACAACATCTTTCATATCAATATTGTTTTGGTAATGTGCTAAATATTTCGCACTTACTAAATATTTGTGAAATGTATATTTGCACATTTTATACTTTTTTGTAGAAAATTGGGGTTTTCCTTTCTGTAGACACTAAAATCTCCGTTAAGATTCATTATATATTTTAGAGTTTTAACAGTTTCAACAATTCACTTACTCATATAAACAGTTATATTTAGCTGAAATTATATCATTTTGTAAAACTTCATTTTTTTTCAGGGCGGAAAGGTCCTTAGCTCCTTTATTGTATTTTATCATATTTCTTCTTGAATTATCAAATGAATATAAAGATGAGAAGATGTGGTATGATTTCGAGTGAGACAAATTTCCACCAGAGACCAAAGAAATAGAACATAAATATAATAGAAGATGTAAAAAAGAAAAGCTAACTGTACAATATAAGGACATTATGTTATGGAGCTAACTTCATCTTACCGAGTAGTTTATGGTCCTTTTTACACATGAAAGACAAGATCAACTAAATGGTTTACAACTAGATTTAAATAGTCTTAAATAACTATTGGTAACATGAAATTCACTATCATGGTAGCAAAAAAAAAAACAACATTCCAATATCGGTTATAAGGGCTCTTATAAGGCAAACGGAAGGAAGCTTTGATTCATGCCCAAAATGTCATCAAATCTATATCGCTGCGTGGAACAACAAAGGTTTGATAATCATAGGTCTATATATATATATATATATAATACGACTTGCTCGACTTTTGAAAAAGGGTCTAGACAAAGAACTTCTAGTACTTTAATTGTCGATAACTCAATACAATATATTTTCTTATACTAATTTCAATTTTGTCTGCAAGGTTATATATTTTTTTCTTGAAAAAAACAGATATTTTGTATAGACCAATAAAGACTTATCGACGGGTGCCACATGTGGAGCAGGATCTGCTTACCCTTCCGGAGCACCTGAGATCACCCCCAGTTTTTGGTGGGGTTCGTGTTGCTTATTCTTTAGTTTTCTATGTTGTATCATCTGTACTGTTATTTGTCTGTTTGTATTTTTATTTTTGGCCATGGCGTTGTCAGTTTGTTTTCGATCTATGAGTTTGACTGTCCCTCTGGTATCTTTCGTCCCTCTTTTATAGATATTTATTTACGGAAAAAAAGATTTCTGTAAGATTGATAACATGTGAGAGGCCATTGAAATTTCGCTTTTGTATTCCGCCGAGCTCTAAATATGCATACCTGCTTCCCATTAGATTCTTCTGCAGTGATTTCTTGTAAGCATTCTGATAGTTGTGCTGTTAAAAGGAAGGAATTGCATTTGACTTTGTATAGCTATTTTTTATTATAAGTATCACCAATCTCAAATAATTTTAATTTAACACCTTGGATAAGACGCACGTAGATTTCATTTTCAGAAATTTCCACCAACAGGCGTCCAGAAATATTTGGCAGACTAATGTTTTTATTTAGATAATTAAATATATTTGGTTAAAAATAAATTTAACATTGAGAAAAACTAGCATACAACTAAGACTATATTTTTATTTAGCAATTCCTGTATCTAAAATATGCTCGACTGAAACAATCCAGTTAACCGCCCACAACTTTCTCATGATCAGAGAGCAGCTTTAACTTACCTAATTTAAAACTGCTCAACACTTCAAAAGATTTTGCCAGATTTACCCTAAAACAATTTGGACAGATCTACCTTAGAACTAATCCTGACAGTTCTTCATACGAAAATTTTGGACAGTTATAACGTATTTTGATGGCTTTACCCCTTCAACAATTCTGTGACAAACTGTCCAAGGATATAACTGTAATAGAACATATAAGAACAGTTCTATGACAGATTATTCTCGCAGTTCTGAACAGATTTTAAAACTAATCCCGACTGTTTATGTATATAAATGTACATGTATCATGGGGCGGTTTCTTCTAAATGTATTTACATTTTTTGACTGCGTTAAGAAACACTCTGCTTTTCAACTAACATAGATAAAAGTCAGTATCCAAACTTATATACTGTGTATGGGCCTGTCAAATTGCTTGATTTTAATTGTGACAATACTGACTTTTTAGCAAAAAATCTGTTTTAAAACATAATTGCGTAATTACTGATATTTTGGTTGTGTTGTAGTGTACACAAAGCCTCCTTGCTGATATTTTTAACAGCTTCTGCGGGTGATTTAGCCAATCTTTCGAAGGTTTCAATAATTTTCCAATCTTTCGTCTCAATCATTTGTGATGTGTTCTGTTTGTCAAGCAATAGATAAGAGAGACCACACACAGCTTCTGTAAAATACATTTGAATATTGTTACATTTTTTACTACAGTTCTTGTACATAAAGGTAATCCTTATTAATATTTTGTAAGCAATTTATAGTGTAAATGTTATGCGAAATTTACCATAGAATTAATATATTGTTTCTCATCCAAAAGTAATGCCATTAATAATTATCATTACGTTCACGCTCATATACCGCTCACATACCCCACGCCCTAACATTGTCACTGGACGAATAAAATCTCACCAGATTCCTACGTTCAAAGACTCATAACTACTACAAAAGTCAACTGATCAAACTTTCTTGTGGATATGCACGTCTACATATTATATAGCCTCATTAACTTCAAAGTTTCATGAAACTCTGTTGTGTGGTTTCAAAGGAGTTGCGATGACAAACTACTGTAGTATATTTAGGCCAAAATTCTATGTTCAATGGGGCATAACTCCTAGAAAAAAAAATTGAATAACATTTCCTGTCGATATGCGCATCTAAATACATCTAGTATGTTCTTAATATCTACAAAGTTTCATGAAATTCTGCTGTGTGGTTTAATGAGTTTGGTGGGGTATAATTACCAGAAAGACTATGAATTATGATCATAGTAATTAGATAGTGAAAAACAATATAAGGCGTATAATAAACATTTCAAAAGTGAACATTCTTTCAAGGACTATATTTATGTTATGCAATTACTTTAATATAGTAAAATGAAATATTTTTACCATATTGTTCCTCTGTTTCACCTTGTTCTGCTATCATAACAAGAAGTGGCACTGCACCCTGCTGTACCAATAATCGTTTGTTGGAATCATTTCTAGCAACCTGTTTTACAACTGTATAAAACATAAAACGAATTATAACATGGGATAGAAGAGATTAAGCCTGATAATATTATTATGATGTCTCTTTCAGTAAATCTTCTTTAACAAAGAAGGTATGTTAAGAGTTATTAATTGCAATTGCCTTAAACTTCTTGTTCGTTTTTCTATTATTTTTTTTAAAAATTCATTTCATACTATTTCAATAATAAAAATATCTACTTGGTTATTCTCACTTTTTGCTAGCTCTTTTATTGACCAGATATCCCAATCGTCACATTCAGTTTTAAGTGCCATTGAAACTGCCCATACCACATATTTGATGATGCTGTCGTTGCCTTTCAAAGCCTGAATTTCAGATTCATTCGCTATATTACTAAGGACTGCTAAACTGAGAAGTCGAATTCCGTTGTCGTCAGAATCTAGATACGGTTTTATTGTTTCAATACAGTTTACTTCTCGAATTCTTTGAACGTTTTCCTCAAACATGGTTACTATATACAGCAATCGGCAGAGAATTTCAAGGATATCGGCACCTTCCGTGATCTTTAAAAAAAATTTACAATATGAACATTTCAAAAAATAAATGAATATTTCAAACAAATAATTCGTCGTAAACGAATTGTTAAAACAAATCTTTGAAGAGACTCTCTAGTACCGAGGGATCCAAGACGTAAATGAAAGCAACTATGGACAAAAGTTTCGCGTACATAATTGTTGATGACCGTTGAATATACTAAAAGTCCATGATATCGAACAACGAATGAATTTTTCTGCCAATCTTATATAACACTTGAACCATTAACTTAACATACATAGTCATGTGTCATGTGACCCTTGTAATACTGACGTCACATGTACAGTAACACAATGATTTTAAATATTCTCGATTTAAAGTCTTCCTTATTGACAGAACCATAACGTTGATTAAAGAACAAAAAAGTTATCATGTAAATTTCATGTAAACCCTCGGAAGACAATGAAAGTAGAACTGTCATCTTAGGTCAGCATTCTTTGATAATCTCGACTGTTCAGAAACAGCAATAATGTTTTTGAATTTTACTACACAAATAAAATAAAGTATACGTCTAGAGTGAAGGCTAAATAAAGGCAACAGTAGTATACCGCTGTTCGAAACTCATAAATAGATAGAGATAAAAACAAATCCGGGTTACAAACTAAAACTGAGGGAAACATTCCAAAATATGAATTTAGGGAGGCATGAAAAAAAAAACAAAAAAAAACGTATTTTTACTCACATCAAAAATATCAAATTCACTTCATTCTTTTTTTTTTGCACAATGAGCTTTATTCTAAATTACCTGCTCGCTTCTTTTACGTGTTTTAAAGTAAGGATCTACCCACTGCTCAAGTATTGTAGTTGCTCCTTTTAAGAACTCTGTCTGCTGTGCTATTTTGT